TGGGGAAGTGAATGCTAAAAATTAAAAATAAATAAATTAATCACACATACACACACAAATGTTGTTTGCGAAATCAAATAAAAAATTCAATTAATCTTAAAAAAAAATACAAGCCATTCCCCAACTGATAAATGGCCAAAGGATATGAACAGGCAGTTTCCAAATGAAGAAATCAAAGCTATCTATAGGCATATGAAGAAGTGCTCTAAATCACTTTTGATTAGAAATGCAAATTAAAACAACGCTGAGATACTACTTCACACCTATCAGATTGGCTAATAAGACAAAAAAGGAAATGATAAATATTGGAGAGGATTGTGAGAAAACTGGGACACTGATGCACTGTTGGAGTTGTGAACTGATCCAGCCATTCTGGAGAGCAATTTGGAACTATGCCCAAAGGGCTATAAAATTGTGCATACCCTTTGATCCAGCAATACTACTACTAGGTCTGTATCAGAGAGATAATAAAAAAGGGAAAAGGACCTACACGTGCAAAAATATTTATAGCAGCCCTTTTTGTGGTGGCAAAATGTTGGAAATGGAGGGGATGCCCATCAATTTGGGAATGGCTGAAAAAGCTGTGGTATATGAATATAATGGAATGCTATTGTGCAATAAGAAATGAAGAACAGCAAAGACTTATACAAACTGATGCAAAGTGAAATGAGCAGAACTAGAAAAACACTGTATACAGTTTCAGCAACATTGTGTGATCAACTATGGATTCAGGAAGGAAAATGCTACCTTTATTGAGATAAAGAACTGGTGGACTCTGCATATGGAAGCATATTTTTTTTCACTTACTTTACTCTTTCTTGTGTTTTTTTTTCTATTTGTTTCTTCTTTCACAACTGTGACTAATATGAAAGTATTTTTTTACATGACAGCATACGTATAAACTGTATCAAACTGCCTACCATGTTGAAGAGAAGGGAGGGGAAGGAGAGAGGGAGAAAAATTTGGAACTCATAATCTTGTAAAAATGAATGCTAAAAATTTTCTTGACATGTAACTGGGGAAAAATACTATTAGAAGAAAATATAAACTTTATTGTTCAGGTCTTAAAGCCCTTCACAATCTGGCCCCAACCTATCTTTTCAGTCTCATTGTAATATGACTCCCTCTCTTGTGCACCATTCAGCTAAACTGGCCTTATTTCTGTACCTCTGTCCCAGATGTCACATCATATCCCAAATCATTGCCTTTGCAATAACCATACCCCATGCCTAGAATAACTCCTCACTTCCCCCTTGTAGAGTCCCTCTCTTCCTTCAAGATGCAGCTTAAGTACCACTTTCCACGTGAAACCTTCCCTGATATTTCCAACTGCTAGTAACTTTTGTCTCAAATTACCTTGTATGTAAGTACTTTTTTTATTCTATTATTTATTCTGTATATACTTACGTCCTTGTTGTAATTTAGAATATATACTCTTTGAGAGTTAGGATTGTTTCATTTATTTATTTATTTTAGCCAGAAGCAATACTTGTTGATTAACGTATTACACTAATATCTACTAAATACCTATTACATAGGAGACACTTTGCTAACCCTGGGGATACAAAGGCCAAAAAAAATCCAGTCCCACTCCTCAAGAAGTCTGCACTATATTGGGGGAATAAAACATACACACAAATAAGTAAATGAAAAGTACACACAAGATAACATGAGGTGATTTCAAGAAATGAGCTTTAATAAACAGGGGACCAGAAAAGCCTCCCAGTAGGAAGTGGCAATTGGGCTGTATTCTGAAAGAAATAGGGAGCCTAAGAAGCTGAAGAGAAGATATTCTAGACATGGAGGAGGGGAGGACAGTGACTGGGATGACATATGTTTAAAGAGGGCCTGCTAGGTGGTTAGCTGGCACAGGAGATATAGCCCTTGACCTCGAGTTGGCAAGACCTCCTCAGTTTAAATTCTGCCTCAGACACTTAGCAGCTGTTTCATTTAACCTCTTCAGCCCAAAGCTCTGATCCTATGACCAACTACGCAAAGGTACAGAGCTAAGAGATGGAATGTCACATATGGAGACTATCTAACAAGCCAGTGTGACTACAAGAGAAAGGAGGGGCAGGGAGGGGAATGATATACAATAAGGCTGGAAGGGTGGTGGCAGGGAATATATTTTAAAGGGCTTTAAATGTAAAATGAAGGTGTTTGTATTTTATCATAGAGGCCACAGGGAAACAGTAGAGATTTGTAAGTAATTGGTTAACCTGGTGAGAGCCATGTTTTCTGTTTCTATCTCTTGCTGCTGGGTTTTGTTGGTATTACTATATAGAAATGGTGATGATTTATTTTATATACTGCAACTCTGCTAAAGCTGTTAATTGTTTCAATTGGTTTTTCAGTTGATTTCTCTAGGGTTCTCTAAGTATACCATCATATCATCTGCAAAGAGTGATAGTTTTGTTTCCTCATCACCCATTTTTGATCCTTTAATTTTTTTCTTGTCTTATTGCTATGCCTAGCATTTCTAGTACATTACTGAATAACAGTGATAATGAGCATCCTTACTTCACCTCTGATCTTACTGAGAAGGCTTTAAGTTTACCTCCTTCATAGATAATGCTTGCTCTTGATTTTAGATAAATACTAGAGACATGCTTTTGAATATCAATTTGGTAGCTATGTAGAAGAGGGATTGCAAAAAGGGAAAGCCTGGGAGCAAGAGATCAATTAATAAGCCTTTACAATAACCCAGGAGAGGCAAATGCAGAGATACAGTGCAGGTAAAATACACAATATAAATGCTATTCATCTGTGCTCTTAGTGCCTTTGCACTGGCTAGTCCAGTCTCCTATGTCTAGAATGCAGGAATTCCCCCTTACTTTTGCCTTATTGAGTCCTTCTATTCCTTTAAAGATACAGGCGAGACAAAGTCTGCTACATATAGTCATTCTGTATTTAATTACACACATACATATATATAAATATAAATCTATATTTGTACCTATGTTATACATTTTTGTATGTATTTATTTCCCCCATTAAAATGTAAGCTCATTTCAAGTAAGGACTGTTTCATTTTTTGTACTTGTATCCTCAGTGCCTGACACATAGTAGGCCCCTAATAAATACTTGTATTGATCTCATGAGATAACATTTAAAGTGCTTTGCAAACCTATGTAAAGTGCCACATAAATGCTGGCTATTATTATTATTGACTATATAGTTTAGGTGTCATCTACCTAGAGATAAGAGGGAGAGAGACAGTCAGTAAATGTTTATTTGGTACCTGCTGTGTGCCAGGCACTGTGCTAAGCCCTAGGGATACAAAGAAAAGCAAAAGACAGTTGCTGCCCTCAAGGTGCGCACAATCTAAGGGGAGAGACAACAAGGAAACAAATAAGTACAAACGAGCTCAGGATAGATAGGAAATAATTAACAGAAGGAAGGCACTAGGGGGAGCTGAGAAAAGCTGCCTGTAGATAATGGGATTTTAGATAGGACCTGAAGGAACCTGGGAGATCAGGAGGTAGAGATCGGGAAGGAGAGCACTCCAGGCATGCATGACAGATAGAGAAAACGTCTGGAGCTGATAGAGGCAAGTGTCTTGTTGGTGGGTCAGTTTCACTGGATCAAAACGTACATGGTGCTGAATAAGGAGCAAGAAGATTGGAAAGGTGGAAGTGATCTAGAGTAGGAAGGGCTTTGCCTGACAGAGGATTCTGTATTTGCTCCTAGAGGCGATAAGGAAACAATGGAGCTTATTGATAGGGAGTGGGAGGTGGGGAGAGAGAGAGAGGCAAGGAGAGATGCCAGGTCAGAATTCATTTTAGGAAAATCATTTTGGTGGCTGAATAGAGGGTGGATTGGAGTGAGGAGAGACTTGATAAAGGCAGACCCAACAGGAGGCTATTCCAACAGTCCAGGCTCCAGGGGATGAGGTTCGGCACTGAGGGAGTGGGGTGGCCATATCAGAGGAAAGAAGGGGGCCACTGGATAGATATTGCAAAGATGAAATCGACAGGCCTGGGTAAGGGATTGTATTGTACTGGGTGAGAAACAGGAGTCCTGAAGAAGGATCACGTGGTTTTGGGACAATATGCAAACAACTATGTATGAACAAGCTATATACAGAACAAATGGAAAATAATCCACAGAGAGAGGGTACCAGAATTAAGAAGCATTGGGAAAGGCTTACTGTAGAAGGTGAGATTTTAGCTGGGACTTCAGGGAAGTTAGACAGACCAGAGATGAGAGACAAAGTGGGGAGGGGAGTCAGAGAGAGACAGACAAGAAACAATCTACATTTATGAAGCGCCTACCATATGCCCAGGCACTGTGCTAAGCCCCGAAGAGAGGCTTCTCAGACACCCTCCTGTAGAAGCGCAGAGGATGGATGGAGGAGGGCCCCCGGGGGCATGAGAGCCAGGGGAGGGGCTAAGGACGGCAGGTGCCCCGAAGTGGACGAAAGGTCAAGAGAGTGAGGTCGGAGTTCCGGTGCGGAGCGGAGTGTCACTTTACAAAACCTGTGTCCTACCCTTCCCCGCTCTCCCCACTTTCTTTATAACTTTTCCCAAGTCATACAAGTTTTTCTACTCCCGGGAAAGTGAGCTGGGGGCGGGCCAGGTAGGGCAAGTCCCCTCCCTCGCCCCTCTGGATTGGTTCAGCCCTGGGGCGTGGGTGGGCTTGGGTGGGTGTCTCAGAAGTAGCTACAACAACTCACACTCCTAGGGCTCAGGGAGGGAGGGGGCGTGTGGAAGCCCGTGGGGCAGCAGGCCTACGTGTCACCCCCCCCTTGGGGAGGGGGAGGCCCCTGCGTGAGGAAGGGTCCTGGGGGGCAGCCCTGCGTAGGGGTGGGGGGGGAGTGATACCTCGTGGGAGGGGCACAGGCCAGTAAATAAACCATAGGCCCCTTCTGAAGAGGGGGCGTGAGGACTGAGGTCTCCCCGCAAACCAGTGGGGCCCCGTCCCCATCAGAGGTCAGCTCTTCCTTTCCTCCCACTCCGACCTCCTGGGAACCTAGGATCGCGGCGACCCCCCAGACTCACCCTGCGCGTCTGCGTCAGCTCGGCCCCGGAGCCTCGGGTCAAAAGTCCGGCTCCGTGTTTTCCCCCTCGCTGCGGGGTTCCGCGGCTCTCGGACGCGGAAAGCTCACTCCAGCCCAGCCCCAGCGCTCACGCTCGTTCCCGCCCAGCACGGTCCTCTCCACCATTCATCGCCCGCCGCCAACCTCCGGACCTCGAGGCCCCGCCTGCGGCTGAGCTCATTGGCCTCGAAACCTCTTCTCCCCTCCCCGCCCTCTCCGAAGCCCCGCCTCCATCCGCTGGGCTCCCGGCCCCGCCTCCGCCGCGCGCTCACCTTGTTTTCATTCCCGCTGTCACATGAATCGGTGACTGGCAACTCGAGCTCCGAGCGGGAGGGAGGAGAGGGGAAGGAGGGGGGCGAAGGGAAGAGGTGGCTCCTCTGCCCTCAGAGGGCCCGGGTCTCGACTGCTCCCCGCGGCTGTGGTATTGTGGGATCGCGGCGACCTCGCCCCCCTCCCCTCCGCGGCGGGGAGCCCGGCTCTCCAGCGCCCCCTGCCGTCCACCCCGCTTCGCCTCGCCGCCGGCCTCCCCCCTCCATCTCTCTCTACTCCTCCTCCTCCATCCTCCAGTCCAAGATGGCGGCGGCGGCGGCGACGGCTCCTCCGGGCTGCCCCGGTTCGTGCCCCAACTTCGCCGTGGTCTGCTCCTTCCTGGAGCGCTATGGGCCGCTGCTCGACCTGCCCGAGTTGCCCTTCCCAGAGCTGGAGCGGGTGCTGCAGGCGCCCACGCCCGACGCCGGCGACAGCGAGGGTAAGCGGGGCGGGCGAGCAGGCGGGCGAGCAAAGCGGCCCCGCGGCGGGAACAGGCCTGGGTTCCCTTTTCCACCTCTGGCCTTGGGGAAACAAATGCCTGCTTGGCCCAGCCCCGGGCCGCTCCCTCCCCTCCTGGGCCCCGGGAGAGGGGGCGGGGCGAGCACCCCCCCCCCGCGTGGGTTGGGGGGCGGGCAGCGATTGGGGCGGGGGAGCTGTAGTAATTGGGGCCGGGGGGGCAGGTATTGTGTGCTGTTCTCCTGGGCGGTCTTTCCACCCCCGCTCCCTCCCGGGCTGGGGAGCGCAGGTTCCGGCCCTCCCTGCGCTTTCTACGCCCCCCCTCCTTGCACCCCGGGGAGGCCGGGCCCAGCCCCTCTTCGGGACGCCCCCTCCCCATACCCCCACCTCTATGCGTGCTCCTGAGTCCAGGGACTGGGGGTCGTGGAGCTCCTGCAGTCCACCTCCCCATGTGCGCACTCCCCCTGGAAAGTGTTTCCTCCTCCACCTCCTCCTCCTCCTCCATTCCCTCCTTCCCCCCGCTTTATTCTTCCAAGGCTCTTTGCTCCGAGTGGGGACGCCCTTCAAGACCCTTCCTTCAGAACCCCCCACCGCCATCTCCTGTGAGAATGGAGCCTAGGTTTTTGCTCCATCCGGCTCTCCCTGGAGCCCCCTCCCGGGAGGCAAAAGGGTGCCTTCCCCTCCCCCCCAGATGCATTGGTGTATTTCTCCACTTTCGCAGTTCTTCCCTCCTTTTTCACCTCTGGCTGCAGGGATGGAGGGAAGAGAAAGGAGTCGCTGTCCTCTTTCCCTCATTTTTGCGGGGTGTGAGTGTGAGTGTATGTGAGTGTGAGTGTGTGTGTAGGGGGAGCGGTGGTGGGAGGAGGGGCTCGGAGAAAAGAGGTGGGGGGGGGACCGAGCAGAAGAAGGTGCTTGTTGCTCATGTTTCTCTCTGGGGCTGCTGGTCTATTATTGGTGTTCGCAAGTGGTGCTCCTTCCACATAAGGCCACCGCGCGAGTGCATGGCGCATGCTCGGCCCGGCCCCATTGAAACTTCCTGCTGCTGCTTTCGCTGGAGCATCCCCCCCGGTGCGCCTGCTGCTCTAACCCTCACGCTTCTGGCCAGACTGTATTTAACATTTCTAGGGCACGTTTCTTCTCCTCAAAGGCTGCCTTTTTGTTTTTGTTGATTGACACTTTAGCAAGGAACTTTATTGGGTTTCAGAGGACACAATTTTCAAATGATTTGTCTTAAATTAGGTAACCGTAGGACTAAAGAAAACCAGACATATGGAAGTCTAACTTAAAAAAAATAAATCAGGGTAATGATTGCTAATATTACTCAGGTATTCACTAGAGAAGTCCTTTAAATAGCAAGTTCAAACTGCATTTAAAAATACGATTGGTGGATTTAATTATAAAAAGCTTTTTGGGGAGTACATCCTTTTTGTGCTTTTAGCAAGACTGCTATGTGCAGAAAAACCTGGTTCAGGCTGGAGGACTGTGCTATATGCTGTGTTGTTTTTAGGATGTGTAGAGAAGTGGTGGCATGAGTGTTCCTCTTTGGGTTAGAAATTTGGGGTGTAAATTACTCTTGGAATTAACCTAGCCCAAGTTCGAGGGCAAACACAGCTTCTAGGGAAGTTTGCAGGATATGAAAGTTTGTCTTCCTATACACTCCCTTCTTTCGCAGTTTAGCCTGAGCTATTCTTTTTTTCACAGGTGATCAGTTTATCCTAATGCCAGAGAAAAGATAATAATGTTAAGAGTTAACTTAGTGTATAACGTTATCCTATAATATTAAGGGCAGCCTGAATTAATGGATAGAGGACTATCTTTAGAGTCAGGAAGATTCAAGACCTCATTCTGACACATAATGATTGTGTGAACCTACCTGGACAAGCCTTTTAACCTTTTAGTGCCCTAGTTAGTTTTCTTAAGTATCCGACTTAATTGCGCGACATCATTGGTGTAAGAATTTCTGCAAGCGTTCCCTTCCATCTCCCCAAAGATAAAAATTTCTTAACTTTAGGGGGTAGACCAGCTGCTAAGTAGAAGATGGGAAATCTAGGGACTAAGAATCATCTGGCTTTGCCCACACCATTAAGGTGATCTGGAGCCGTTACCTTTTTGTTATTGTTAAAGGGGATAATGGTAGTAGTTTTTTCCACAAGGGAATGTCTGGTAAGAATAGCTGCTATCTCACAGGACTGTTTGAGGAAATCAATGCAAGTTTTAAAGACTTATAAATTAGTTTATTGTTAATGTTATAAGGCACTTGGCCAGTGAACAGAGCTTATGGCTGTAGTAGTTTATATTTTTACTTATAGGGTGAATACATTTGATCATGGGCACAATTTTAAGCTATTTTAAATTTGGATAAAAGCTTTGTGTTGGGGTATAATACTGAAATGCCTACTGATCAATAGACCCAAGAGCAATATGAAGACATATTTTAAGCAATTGTTATGGAAAATTTTGTGAATCTGGTTTAAAAACTCTGACTCTTCCTGGCATGATTAAATTTGTCTTTTGATGCCTGTTTAATACATTCTTTGAATTACCAGTGCATCAGTAGAGGTCCACATCCTTTGAATGGGACCATAGTTTTATGTGAATAGTAACAGTTTAAACATTCTGTGATAGGTCCTTCCATTTACAGTGTTGGACTTTGGAATGATGTCCTCAGCTTGGATGTTCTGTTTTCATAGAAACTGTACCAAAGCCTATTAAATCTTTTTCTTAGGATTATAGAACTAGAAGGGATTTTATGTACCATCTTCTTTTATAATAGTGTTATAGCTTTATTTCAAAAGTCAGAGCAAAAAGAAGTAGATAATAACAAATCATATAAGAATTACAACAAGAAATGTGTATCTGTGGAAGTTATTGAAGATATTTAGTAGCAAAAAGTACTTGATATTTTTTATTTTTTGATATTTTTAAAAGCTGCTTTTGAACAGCTAATTTGTTTATATATAGTTTGAATATATATAGTGCTTTCAGGTTTGCAAAGCACTTTTCTCCACAGGTCCTCTGAGATTTGTAGTGTATTATTATCCTTATTCTACAAATGAGGAGCCTTTGCTCAGAGATAAATGAAGGGTCATAAAGTTAGTAAGTAGTTGAAGTGGCATTTTAAAACTCAGATTTTTTCTGACTCGGAGTTCAGCTCTCTTTCACTAGGCTGTGCTGCCTAAGCTAGTCATTGTGTAGTTGCTTCTTTTGAAAACATTAAACTTGGTCTGTTTTATTTTCCAGCCTGTTAAATTTTGTACTTCTGCTGTAACATACTAGGATTCCTGTAACATACCTTTAAAGTTGGCTTTTAATGCATGTTCAGAACTCATTTTTTCATTGAAATTGGACCATCAGTATTTTGCATTAATGGCCTGATTGCAGGAGGTAAATGTATTAATTTCCTTTTGTACTTAATTGGAGTTGACTGTTAGATAATATGATCTCTCTTACTGGTGAGTATTGTGTGATGATACTTTTTAGATGCTTTTTTTGCACCTAAAGGAAAGGTACTTATTAACATCATTGGAACTGTTTGTTGCCATAAATGAAGTTTGCCTTCAGATGCTTACGCTGGCTTCTGATTTTCTATTGTGACAGACCACCTTGGCATGCTGAAGTGAGAGCATATTTCACTTGACAGCTAGTGAATATACTTTTTGGCCTTTGAAGAAAGAAGTGGAAGTTAGGGATAGAGGGAAAGGAAAGGGTTCTCTTCTTATAGGCTTAAAGTTTGAGGAAGAAAAAAGCATAGGAAGTTTCTGGCATGTTACTCTATTGCAGAAGGTGGAATGGAAGGAAATTAAAGCCCTCTGTTAAAATATTCCTATTAATGAAACAGTCATTTTCCTCATCCGTATTTTAAATTATATATTTCAAAAACTTGACCAGGACCTGTTAGTGAGAAAGCTCACTACTTCATTGTAATAAGTACCTCCTCTAACTCATTTTCTGACTGGCAGCATCTTGCTGAATGGAGCGATAGGCCATGTAGTTGAAAAATGAATCTTGCAAAGTGATAGCTGCTGATCAACTTCTTGATATAATTCATTGAAAGTGTGTGAAAATACTGTGTTTTAATAGGTTCTGTATTGTCTTTATTAAAGAGATCAATGGTAAACTATATTTGCACATTCGAAGTTGAAAATTGAGACAGTTGTCTTGAATAATTTGAGCTGAAAATATATTTTTTACTTTTTAATGATTCACATACCATAGGCAAAGTATCAGTTTGAATTATCAAGAAAATGGCCACATTTCTCTATTGTGTGAAGTGGACAAAATCTTAGTATATACAGTTTTTAAAATGGCGTGTTATTCTAAATTAGTTTTGGTTTTCTGTTTATACAGTAGGTCAGATGCTTTTACCATGAATTCCATTGGACTGTCCAGGTTCTTTTGAAATTTATGTAGTGTTGACTATTACATGAAATAAGTAATTTATAGCTTGAATTCCAAACAAATGTTTTGTTGTTTTGTAGAATTTCTACAAATGAGTGGACCAACTTATAACGTTTCATTTGGAATGTACTCTTAAATATCAGCTATAAACCAATATAACATATATTTATGGTAATATATACTTATGTCCTTTTTTTGGTTCTAAGCTGGGATTTCATCTGTACAGGGAATTCCTGGTATGGAAATTCCTTCCACCTTAGTAAGGCAACTCATCTATACTTTATTATCTTAGTTACCAGGGGCACCCACTAAAAAGCAGCTAAGTGACCTGTCTGTAGTCATGTGGTTAGTACTTCTTCGGGGTGGGACTGTGAACCAAGGATTTTGGGATTCTGAGGCTGGTTTGTGCCATACTGCTTATAGATATAAGATATAGCTTATCTATCAGATATAAACAGATGTAATGTGCACTTGTTATACTTTATTTTATGTTATTTTTAAATGATACAAATGGTAAAAGGGTTTGACCTTTTTATTTTGTATTTTATTTTTACAATGTAGTATTGCATTTGTATTTATTATTAC